AAACACAAACAGCTGTTAACTTTAAAGAACAATGAGCTGCACAAGGCGACATGTAAGCAAAGGAACTATCAATATGCTCATCTAAAATGTAGATGCCTTTGACCAGGGGTCAGCAACTCATGGCTTTGGAACCACATGTGGCTCTTTCATCCCTCTGCTGCGGCTCCCTGTCACTCAAAATATGTGTCACAACTGCCAATGTGCAACACCCACTGGCACATGATTTATTGAGCTTTTCGACCCCCAATAGGCCAATTATGGATAAATCCAAGAAAAAAAAAGTTTTAGAAGAAAACAGAATTCAACTACATATGCTAGTTTTGTGGCCACTCAGGAAATAGTCAGACATGGGAAGGATTTTGTGGCTCCCGGTGTTTTCTTTTCTGTGGGAAACAGGTCCAAATGGCTCTTTGAGTGTTTAAGATTGCCAAGCCCTGCTTTAGACAAAAGTTTTGAAAGAAACCAAACAATCCTTGGCTTAAACAATACAAAATCAAATCAAAACCTAACACTTTCTGGCTCCTCTCTGTACTCAATAGATTAAATTTCCTCTTGTATTGTGGAAAGTCTTCTCTCACAAATTTAGGATCTTACATTCCTTTTTATTTTTCCATAGTCATATTTTGCTCTGAACAACTATTTAAAAAAACAGAAAAAATATCCAACATATTCCTCCATTACTATTTAGCTTCAAAGGAGGAAATTCAAATGTTTAAATAACTAACTGCTGTGGTATTAGTTTTAGCAAAAGAAGATAATGGCTTCCTGCTCTAAATATACAAATAATTTTTAAGGAATAATTTTTAGAATTTTTTTACTTGAGTAAAATAAAAACAAATACATAAAAGAATAAAATAAAAATGAAGGAAAATGGAGAAAGCAATACAATTGAAGGAAAATAAAGAAAAAATATTTAAATAAATGAATTATAACCTTCATTACAGCAGTTACAATCAAACTATAGACAACAAACCTCAAGCTGTGTCCTCAAAGTAATATTATAATTTATTGCTTTAAAATGGTTGCAAAAATCTACCCTTGTCAAAAACAGACTTCAATTCAGATTTGGCTAGTACATTAAATTATTACTTAGAGAAGAACATAAGAGATAAAAGAAAATATGTATTATTCCTGCAGATTATCTGGACAGTAAGGTAATTAACTGCAATTGTTGCAATTATTTCTGACTTTAAAAAGAAAATATAGTTCCAAGCAAAGAAATGAACTTAAATAACAAATTTAATATAGAATTTGGTAGACAGTATAGAGAACGTTTATCTGAACTGTACAGGACATTACATTACTAATAATTATTATCTGTGTTTTGTGAAAAACATTTCACAAAATACATCGGTGATGAAGTGATTTTCATTGAAGCAATTCAAAAATGGCAAAAATTATTTTTCATTTTTATACACGCAACTAAAAATCTAAAGTTTACATGAAATAAAATGTACATAAATGAAAAGACACATTGTGCGCTTCAAATCTTAATAGGCATCATAAAACAGCAAAGATGAGAAATACTGTAAAAATGGTAACTAACCCAAAACCCTATGAAAAATCATGGCAAATTTAAGAAAAGGATTAAAAGTCTACTTCATGTTGATTATATAAAAGAAATTATCACTTTTATTTTCTTTAAATTTCTGAAGTTAGTTTTGCTTTCTGAAGTCAATCACAGAAATCAAGTAAAGAGGGCAACTTCACATTTGTCCCTTTTTTTTTTTTACTACTATTATTATAGATCATATTACCATGATGTCTGAATAAAATGAGAGGGAAAAAGGGAAGTCATGTTAGAATAAAAGATACACATTGAAAGAAAAATTTATTTCCCCTGGATCAAATAAAAAGATTCCCCTGCGATCCCTTGCTGGTTACTTTCACTGTCTTATTTCTCCTGCTGCTGCTGCGAAGGTGTGCCTGGTCTGGACCCTTGCAAGGCAGCTACTGGCTGCACCTGGTCTTTATAAAGCCTCAAGCTTAGGAAGGCTGCATGTGGCCAGGAGCTGACTTGCAAAGGGACAGACTGGGCATGCTTCATAAGAAGCAGGAAGAAGACAACAGCATAAGACATTACCCATAAGGATCCAATGCTATTTGGATGACATCCTGATAGCATCCTCTTCCCGACCCCAGGCGGAGGAGGATCTGAGGTCGACAATCAGGATTCTTCGAGAGCACAGGTTCTCGATAAACCTGGACAAATGCCACCTAGTACCATCGACTTGGCTCTTGCATTTGGGGGCTATCAAAGACACCTTGACTGGCCAGGTTTTTCTCTCACAGGAGCGTCGAGACAGTCATCATGTCATCATGTCACAGATCCTGTCTTCCAGAGAGGCTCCTATCATCTTGCTGTTTCAACTTCTCAGCAAGATGGTATTGTGCATCAGGATTGTCCCGTGGCCCACTTCCATTCCTGAACCCTGCAGTGGTTCCTGCTCCCTTACCAGGGGCGACTCACCAAGGAGAGTTCGCGTCCCCTTGCCAGTTCTTCGTTCTCTCCATTGGTGACAGTCCCAAGCCATGGATCAGAGATGCTTGTACAGGGAGCCCCAGAGGATTACCATCACCACCGACGCCAGTCTGTATGGTTGGGGGGCCCACTTGGGAGTCCAAGTCACCCAGGGGAGGTGGTCACGAGAAGAGCTCGCCCACAATATAAATTCACTAGAGCTCAGGGCTGCCTGCTTAGCGCTCAGGGATCTAAGGCAGGAGGTGGTGGGGAGACATGTTCTGCTCACGGACAATATGGCTACCAAGGCCCACATAAACCAGCAGGGGGCACTCGCTCCAGATCCATAATGTAGGGGGCGACTCAATTGTGCAGGTGGGCGGAGAGACACCTGTTGTCCCTACGAGTAGAACACATCTTGGGAGTGTCCAACGTGCAGGCAGACTGGTTGAGCAGAGCCATGGCCGACCAGTCAAAATGGTGACTGCATCCCAGTCTGTTCCAGGAGATGATGGAACACTTCGGCCGTCCAATTCTGGATCTCTTTGCATCGCCAGAGAACACGCAGCTCCCGAGGTTCTTTGCACGATTCCCTGCACCGGGAGCAGAAGGGGTCAATGCTCTCCAGTGGCCCCAAGGACTATTGTATACCTTCCCCCCTTCCCGATTCTGGGGGCAATCAGGAAGGTACTGATAGAGAGGGCGGAAGTTCTGTTGGTAGCCCCTTATTGGCCCAGGCGCCCTTGGTTCGCCAACCTGGTGGGCCTGTCAGTCGCCAGACCCTGGAGAATTCCCCTGCACAAGATCTCCCTCAGCCAGGGTCTGATCGAGCACCCAGATCCAGCCTGGTTTTGGTTTACCATCTGGCACTTGAGCGGGGGATCCTGAAATGGGAGAAGTTTTCCACAAAGGTCATTCAGACCATCCAGGCGGCCAGAAAACCTTCCACGACTAGGATATATGATGTGGAAAATTTTCCTGCAGTTGGTGCGCTAGTCACCAATTGGAACCCACTGTTGTTTCTGTTGCAAATGTGTTAGAGTTCCTGCAGGATGGGTTGGACAGAGGTCTCGCCCCCAATACCTTGAAGAGACAGGTGGCTGCCTTGGCCTCGGTGATTTCAATCAAGGACTCTACTACTCTGGCCAAACACCCTAGGGTGAAAGCCTTCCTTAGGGGAGCCACGAATTTGAAGCCACCAGTGGTCCACCGCTATCCCAACCTGGGATTTGCCTAAGGTCTTGCAGGCACTGACATCTCCCCCATTTGAACCCTTGCATAAAGTCAGCCTTCATCTACTCACGTGCAAGGTGTCATTCTTAGTGGCCATTACCTCAGGCAGGCGTATCTCGGAGTTGGCGGCCTTATCCATCAGGAAGGATCTGTGCGTATTCCATGCAGACAGGGTGGTTCTGCGTTTGGACTCTACCTTTCTGCCCAAGGTGAACTCCTTATTCCATCATTCACAGGAGTTGATTTTGCCTAACTTCTGTCCAGAGCCTACCCATGCACTGGAGAGAAAATGGCACACCTTGGATGTTAGGAGGGCCCTCCGTATTTACATTAAAAGAACCTCTTCTCTTAGGACTGAAGCCCTGTTCGTTTCCTTTCAGCTGTCAATTTTGGGTCGCAGGGTGACACCTTCCACTGTGGGTCGCTGGTTCAGAGCCTGCATTGCGAAGGCCTATGAGTTACAGATGCTTCCTGTACCTAGGAGAATCACTGCGCACTCAACCAGAACTGCAGCGACCACCGCAGCCTGGGCAACGCAGGCATCAATTCTGGACATTTGTAGAGCTGCGACTTGGTCATCAGTGACCCCATTCATAAGACATTACAAAATTGACTCCTTTGCCTCAGCAGAGGTGTCGTTTGGAAGATGAGGGTGTTAATGTAGAAGTGGGGGATCTCCAAGCAATCCAGTTCCCACCCGTAGGACAGCCATCAGCCAGCTTTGGTATGTCCCATCCTGGATTCTCCCTTCGGCTCAGTGGAGAAGGGGCGTTGGTCCTACCTGAACGCTTCTTCTTGGGGAGCTGAAGGGAGAATCCAGTCCCACCCTGTATTCTGTCAGGTTGGAGTAGGGAGAAAATGTCCTTTTTTTCTCAGTATCAAGCTATCAGTTTGAGGACAAGGAGCAACTGAATTCGCTTTGACGTTGTTCAAAACTGGGCACCATTACCAGGTGGTGTGTCCTCAGTTTTTCAACTCAGTCTGCAAAACCTAGGAGACTAGAGACTACCCATCCTGGATTCTCCCTTCAGCTTCCCGAGAAGAAGCATTCAGGTAGGATCAACGCCCGTTTCCAGGTTAAATCTCTCCTTGTTCAGTTTCATCCATTATTCCTTGTCTGGCCTACAGGTGCTTTATGAGCGGGGGTCCCTTTGATCCCTTCCTCTCTGTGGCAGCCCCTCAAATATTGGAAGACTGCTATCATGTCTCCCCTGGTCCTTCTCTTTACTAGACTAGCCAGCCCCCTAATCATCTTGGTTGCTCTTCTCTGTACTTTTTGTAGAATCTCAACATCTTTTTTATAATGTGGTGAACAAAACTGGATGCAGTACTCTAGGTGATCTTACTAAGGCTTTATACAGTGGTATTAGTACCTCCCTTGATCTTGATTGTTTCCTTAGGATTGCATTAGCTTTTTTGGCTGCTGCTGCACACTGCTGGCTCATATTTAGCTGGTTGTCCACTAAGACTCCAAGATCCCTCTCACAGTTACTGCTATTAAGCCTGGTTTCACCCAGTCTATATGTGTACTTTTGGTTTTTCTTGCCTAAGTGTAGGACTTTACTTTTCTCTACATTGAATTTCATTTTGTTAGATATGGCCCAGTGTTCTAGTCTGTCAAGATCCATCTGGATCTTGAGCCTATCTTCTTGGATGTTAGCTATTCATGCCAGCTTAGTATCATCTGCAAATTTGGTAAGTTCCCCTTCTATTCCCTCATCTAAGTCATTCATGAAGATATTGAAGAATACTGGGCCTAAGACGGAACCTTGTGGCACTCCACTGCTTACTTCCCTCCATGTAGACTTAGATCCATTTAGGACTACTCATTGAGTACAGTTTGTCAGCCAGTTGCAAGTCCATCTAGTGGTGGTGCAATCTATTCCACTTTTTTCTAGCTTACTAAGAAGTAGGTTGTGGTCTACTTTGTTGAATGCCTTGCTGAAATCTAAATATATTATGTCCACAGTATTTTACTGGTCTACTAATTTAGTCACTATGCTGAGGAATGAAATAAGATTGGTTTGGCATGATCTGTTCTTAACAAACCTGTGCTGACTGCTAGTTATTACTTTATTTGTTTCTAGATGTTGACAGATCTGTTTTTTTTATTATCTTTTCCAGTATCTTCCCGGGTATTGATGTTAGGCTGATTGGTCTATAGTTTTTTTTCCCTCCTTTTTTGAAGATGGGAACCACATCAGCTCTTTTCCAGTCCTCTGATAGTTTTCCAGTGCTCCAGGATTTTTTGAAAGATATGGTGCAGTGGTTCTGAGATGACCTCTGCCAGCTCCTTTAAAAACTCTGGGATGTAATCGATCAGGCCCTGGTGATTTGTGTTCATCAAGATCAGACAGGTGTTAAAGAACATAGCTTCCCCCTGTCCAACTATTTAGCATCTGTTATTATGTTGTAAATGCACACGTACATGCTAAATAATCCCTATAGCACTTATATTGCAAGAACAAATTATTTTAAACATAAGGATAAATCTCCCAACAAGACTTTAAGCCTTATCCTTAAAAAGGCTTTCTGCTGGGCAGTCTACATTAGCATAATTAAATATCTGCCCAATCCTAATACAGAGTGAAATACGCTTACTGAAACCTCTTCTGTAGCAATTTTCACAGCTTAAGTTATTCAAATAGATGAAATTATTCAAATAATATGCCATAGTAAGTTGCTTATTTCTATGAAAGTTGAATTAGGATTGTCAAGAGTCATTAGTTATAATTTAGTTGCTTCTATTCTAAGAATCACATTAGCTATTTATTTTGATGTTTCAAGAAATGTTCACAGGGACATCAAGAGAAGTGTAGTGAATGTCTTCAGAAACAATTTTGTGTGAAGATATTAAAGCTCATTCATGAAAATATACACAATTTTAAATTTATTCCTCGTTACTTTTTAAATAAGAATGGAATGCTATAGTAATTGAAAATTTCTTTTCATGAAATATCCAACTCTCAATATCAAAATCCAAGTAGTAGAAAAGGAAAGGTGTTTATTATATAATAGGGATTTACATAATAGGTCTGATTAAACAAGTAATAAGGAACAAAAAGTTAATAAATTAGTGCTTCTCATTTGAAATAGTTGAAGAAAAATAAGAATATAATAAATATTCTTCAAGTATAATACACCATTATCTTGAAATCAAGTTATAGTATATAGAGTTCAACAAAGGTTTATATTCTTTTAAATGTAGAAATACCCACTGAACAAATACATACTTCTTCAGTGGTATATATACAGTATATCTCAAGAAATCTCAATTACTTATTCAAGGGATTTAGATGTAGTTTTAACCTTACAAGAAACATTGAACAATACTAAAATAATGAAATCTGGAAGACAGTTGGGTCAGATATGATATCTGTTAAGTGCAAAAAAATAATTAAAGGGAAAGTTGGTTCTGTTGCGGTTAGCATTTTAGATGATCCCAATCTATTTCTAACTCTGACGTTATTAACTGAATGGTGTAGATCAAGGCTGTTGTGGTTTGCCGGCAGCCTGTGCAGATGGCAGTGGAATTGGACAGTGGGGAAGAACAGGGACCAGTCTGGGAGTCTGGAGAGGGCTCAGACGAGGGTCCTGCATCCAATGCAGAGATGGGGCCAGATGTTGCCTTTGGAGCCTTCGGAGTTTGGCAGCAGCAAGGCAGAGCCTGTTCCCAGGCGCATCTGCACAGAGCTGGTAGAAGGCAAGGGCAGCTGAGACAAAAGGAGCAACTAGGGAGTAAAGCTTGGATGTGATTGCCCCTCCCCTAAGGTATAAAGGAGGTGTAAAGGTAGAGAAACCTTTGCAGGAAGCAAAGTCATTCGCTCTTTTTGGATTAAACCTTGAAGCTCTGTGTAGACTTTGTACTTCGGCTGGTTTTTTACAGTTAATTTGGCACTTTAGTTGTTGGCAGCAATTCAAAGGAGATAAAGGTGGGTGCTTTTATCGAGGGACAGTTTGGAACTCATTACGGGCTGAATGAAAATAATTCCCAGCATTAAAATAAAACAAGAGTTGTTTGGACTAAGTGTATGCTTAATTATGGTCTCAGGAAGCCTTGGTCAGAACAAGGGCTGTCAAACTCGCAGCCCACGGCCCAGATGTGTAATGCGCTGGTCATACCCATGCCTGGTTTAGCAAAGGGGGAAAAAGTCACAATATGTCATGTGATGCTGCCATGACGACGCAAGTTTGACATCCCTGTGAGTTTGACACATTATATTGTTAATGACAAGTTTAAGATCTGAATTAATTTTATATTGTTATATTGTGTATAGATTTGGCGAAGAAGTATATGGTATCCAAATTTGAATTAAATTAATATCAAAGGAATGGCTAAGATGTCACTGTACCAAATGTAGCATTGTAGGGAGCCATAGAGATAACCTTTGTGAAATCACCCAGAAGCTGTTAAAATAACAACAGGTGCAGACTTAACATTAAGACTAGAGAGGGAGAAAGTATTAGAAACAGAATCAGGCTGTACCTCCCAATTCTATTACAATGGCATCAGAATCAGGATTGCAATTAGTAAACAATGTCAAACTGGCCAAAAATCAGCTGTGAGGCGCGCGCATGTGCAGTGAGGTAAGTTTGCCTGCAGTTCACGTGCTGGCACAAATGGCTCTGCATGCCACCTGTGGCATGCATGCCATAGGTTCACCATCATGACCATATAGCTTATGTTTAGTTTGTGATTAAAACCTGAACAATTTGTTTAAACTTAGTATTACTATTTTGATACAGAAGCACTGTAATTAAGTAATGAATTGTACTTTCAGATTGTTTTCTTCTTTTGTATAATTTAGCTTTTTAAAGTATATTGTTTTTTGAACAAATTAGTTTGAAAGTGTAAGTTTTGTTTTTAATTGCTTTATCTAAACTGTCCAAAAATTTGAAAACATTTTTAAATGATCTGAACAGTTCAAAGGAAGAAACTGAGAATCTTTAAAATATGAAATAGAATTGAAACAGTTTTCTTCTGAAAACTCAAAGGAATTTTCTCTTCTGAAAACCCTCTAAAATGCATGAAATAGGCTCTTAAAATTCTTACTTTAATTAGCATTTCAAGAAAAGGTATAAGAAGCCCAGAGCTATTGAGATTGAAAAATAAATGAGAATGCAGTACTGCAGGCTACTTCTGCTGACTGTCAGCTGCCTGCAATTTGGCAGTTCTACCAGGCTCAAGGTTGACTCATCCTCCCATCTTTCTGAGGTGGATAAAATGAGGGCCCAAATTGTTGGGGGCAATATGCCGACTCTATAAACTGCTTAGAAAGAGCTGTAAAGCTCTATGAAGTGGTATATATAAGTCTAAGTGCTGTTGCTATTGCTATATTTAGCTACTATATTTCCTGATGAGTAACCATATTGGGTAAATCCTGTTTTTTCCTAAAGAGTGAATCAGTTCTGAACATTGATATTGATGGTTTTGGTTGAAATACTACATATTTTTTCCAATGTATGCTTAGAATTTGGATAGGGTCCTCAGCTAGTGGCCATCATACAAATATTATTACTATGTACCGTATATGCCGGCGTATAAGGCGACCCGGCGTATAAGACGACCCCCCAACATTTCCACTCAAAATATAGTTTGTTATATACTCGCCCCCTCTTCCGCACGCCTTCCACTTTTGCACTTTTTTTTTTTTTGAGGCACTTTTGTGCACCGTGGAAACGAATCCCGTGAAGCCGAAAGGAGCAGCCAGCCTTCTCCCAGCTCCCAAGGAAACGAGGCTCGCACCGCCCGAGCTCCGCTGAGGTATCCGGCTGGGGCTGTCAGGAGTTGTTACCGCTGGCGCGGCTCCGCGCAGCTCCAGTCCCGCATTGCCTCGGGAAGGGAAAGGCAAAACCAGGAGCCGCTGCTGCCATTGCAAAGCGCCGCCGCGGCTCTTCCTTTTTGCCTTTCCCTTCCCGAGGCAACGCGGGACTGGAGCCGCGCGGAGCTGCGCCAGCGGTAACAACTCCTGACAGCCCCAGCCGGATACCTCAGCGGAGCTCGGGCGGTGCGAGCCTCGTTTCCTTGGGAGCTGGGAGAAGGCTGGCTGCTCCTTTCGGCTTCACGGGATTCGTTTCCACGGTGCGCAAAAGTGCCTCAGTCGCGGGCAGCCGCAGTGCTTCCCAATTACTATTTGCCGGCGTATAAGATGACCCGGCGTATAAGACGACCCCCCCAATTGGAGGCATGTTTTTCAGGGCAAAAAAGTCGTCTTATACGCCGGCAAATACGGTATTCCAATGTGAAGCCTTAATCTAAAATAAAAAATGGAAAAAGCAAAATAAATTATTTTTATAATAAAATGATTCCTAGAAATGAGCAGAATGATTAAATGGAAGAAAAAAAGTAAAAAATTCTGAAATATTTGAATAATGGAGCTGAAAAAATACTTGAAAAAGAATAAATGGCCTTATATTGTGAGATGCCTCATCAACATTTTAGTGTGTTTGTTAATGTCATAATCAATTGCTGGTAGGGAGGAAGGAACACAAGACAGTGTTTTAATAGGATACTCTGCTTGTTTTAGACTTCAAAAGCCTGGAGTCTAAAAATCAATTTCCTTAAGAAGCAATACCAAAATCACAGCCATGAAATATAATCTTTACTATGGTCAAAGACCAGCCTAAATCTCAATCATATACTTCTGGAAAAACAAGCTCTAAGGCCTACCTTAAATATGACTGAAAATACAAGACACTGCAGAAATTTGTTTGATAGTCAAACAAACTATAGCAAGAAGATAATTATGTTCACATACTCTCAGGCAAGGCCGGACTCTTAGGACATATAAATAAGAACCTGGATTCATATGTATAATGAATTATTTAAAAAAATTTTTTTGATCTGGTTTGAACTTGTGTCCTGATCTCTATATTAAATATACTGATTCTTAGATTATGATCTGAATATAATTCTTTCTTCATAGTCCCCATATTAATGGGTTTTTAAGACTTGGAAGAGATGGAAGAGCAGAATCCTCTTATTAGAATGACACCCATATTTTGAGTTACTGATTCACTTGAATTTGGTAGTAGTCCACAATGACCATTGACTCTCAATCTATAAAATAATTGGCTGATGGAATAATTTTATTTTTAAAAAAATGGGGAGGAAAACTAGAAAAATGGGAAACATGAAATAATTAAGTTGTTATATTGTAACAATACTTGTAATAATGTGTTATGACTGTTAGGGATACACCCTAGCAGAATTTGCACAGCAGTCAGGCAGTCAGGCAAATATGTGAGATAAACGTTTTTTGTAGCTTAGACTCAGTAAAACAGATACACTGTGCTAGTTAAATAGTTTATTCCAGTAAGAGTTTTAGCATAGTCAAACAGTCCATATATCATTCAATAGGTCAGTCCGTTCGGGGATTATTCAGTTGCAAAGTCCAGTGTCGAAAAAGAGGTCAGTAAACTTACAAATATCAGTCCAGTAATATATCTTCTCGCAGTAGAGATATAAAGAAGTCAAACCTCCTTTCTTCCTTCGACGTTCAAAAACTCAGCAGCAGGGAATACGCAGTTAGCAAACCATCAATCCATCAATCCAGCAAACAAGTAGGTTCTCTTGCTCCCTCTTATGGCGGTTTTACAACCGCACCCAAAATTACATGCTTTGCAGTTTAAAGTGACACACACTTAAACTTACTATCATAGTTTATATATATTATTTTACCCAAACTACGTTAGGTAACCTTGTTATTCCTAACAATGACTAGCCAATATAATCTCTTTCTTAAATATTTAGATGTTGCTAGATTGCTTCATCCTAGATTAAATTTTATTTCAAATAGTTATAAAGCTTTTGATCAACAGCAAGTTGTTATGTCAGTTAAGCAGTTAAATACTATTATTATTCTTTTTTTATCTCCTACTGTCCTAATGGACAAAAATGTGAGTACATATTAGAATGACTTCTTACCTTGTACAACTCTGTATTTTTGAAAATTGAAGGATTTTCCATATTCCCCTTTAATCCTTTAACAGTAGATTTTGCCACAAATACTGTTAAACAATGTTTTACAACATTTCTCCAGATTTATCATGTTCATGAAGATTACAATTGCCTCATTTCAGTGACACGGCTAATCCGGCCAGGGAAGCAAGTGAGCAAATAAACATGAAAAGCAAACTTTGTCCACATCTCTTCTTTGTATTACTATCTTCTTAGAGGAAGACTTACCTTTTGATCAAGCTTGCAATAACATTATTATTTCAAGTAATAATCAAATAATAATCATTTCATAGAGATATACAGAATTGCTGTACCATACTTTAACAAAATAATAATTATTTCATAGAGATATACAGAATTGCTGTACCATACTTTTCTTATTCTTGAACAAATTTTAATAAAAGCAAGCAGGAATATGGATGAAAAAAGAATATAATTAAAGTATATGCAATCTTCATTTCAGCTACATTTGAACAAGTAAAAACTTATAATTTGAATCTTCTGTATCTTTTTTCAATGCTTTTTATCTCAAATAGTTTTAATAAAAGTAGACTAATTTGAAAGTATGGATTGTAAATTGTGAAAACACAATTTTTAGTTACTGGATGTTCCATCTCACTTAAAAAAAAGGAAATCAAAATACTACATTGTCATAAAATCTAACATTCTAACTATTGTATTTATAATATCTTGAGGTCTGTCACTAGAAAACTTGCAATTTCTCATGTAATATAACAACTTTGTAAAATTTGTTCCTGTTATGCTGTTTAGACAGATTTTTAATTTAATTTTAATTGCATTTGTATTTAATGCGTTTGTGTGTATAAAGGCTGTCTAGGATGTCACAGTACAGATCTTTAAAATATTATAAAAATGGCACCATTTTAGAAGAGTTTTTTTTTACAAAAATCTATTAATTTATCTATCTCAGCACATTGACAAGTATGTGTCTAAAAGCAATTCTTATCTTCCTTTTAAAATTACAAAATTTATTAATGCTGCTCAACTGCACAATTATAGCAACACCAACCAACAAGTTAGGACAGGGGTGTCAAACTTGCATCGTCATGGCATCATCACATGACACATCACAACTTTTTTCTCTTCGCTAAACCAGGCATAGGCATGGCCAGCGTGTGACACATTTGTCCCACAGGCCCCAAGTTTGACCACCCTGAGTTAGGATTATGGCATTATGCAGCTTTCTTGGAAGTAAATTAAATTCTTTAAGTGGGTAATTAACTTTATAATTTAATTGATAGCACATCATAAATAATTAAAGCTAAATAAATATTGGAACTATAATACAGGTAGTCATGGACTTAATAATCATTATTGAGCCCAAAGTTTTCACTGCTAAGCGAGGCAGTTGTTAAATGAGTTTCCCTCATCTTACTATATTTTTTGCCATGGTTGTTAAGTGCAGTTGTTAAGTGAATCATGTGGTAGTTAAGTTAATCTGGCTTCTCCATTGACCTTGCTTGTTGGAAGCCGACTGTGAAGATTACAAATAGTGATCACATAACAATAAAATGTATTGTAAATGTTTTTGGTGCTAGTGCCTGATTTTTGATCACGTGACTTTGGATGCTACTGTGGTTGTAAATGTGACAAACAGTTATAAATCACTTTTCTCAGTGTTCAGTAAATGAGTGGACTACTTGTATACAGAACAAAAATATACATATGTTAAACATTCTTAAGTGCTTTTCAAAAGGAATAATAAAATGAGTAATAATTATCCACATCTGTTAGAAAAGTTGTCTGGTAGTTGAACAATTTGGTACTTGTAATATTTCTAATTTTCTTGTATTTATGTTGTTATTTCTAAAGAGAGGTATATATTAAAGAAGTTTAAATACTGCATAATGTATTACTTACCGTATTTGCCGGCGTATAAGACGACTTTTTTGCCCTGAAAAACATGCCTCCAAGTGGGGGGGTCGTCTTATACGCCGGCAAATACGGGTATATTCTTCGCCTTGTTGGTGAGGAGGCTCGCTTCTCCCTCTCCTTGAGGTCATAGCAGGCGCTGGCGAATTGCAAAGGGTTCCTCGTAAATTAGCTGCAGATCTCAGAGCGGGGACTTTGCATTCAGTTGTAGCCTTGAGCGTCGGGTTACCCGTAGCTCTGCCAGGGAGGGATTACGCCCCGCAATCCGGCCGGCTCCCTCTCGCTGAGGTGGGGCGGAGGTGGGATGTGGGTCCCTACTACCGCTAAGGCTCAGCTAGAGGTAGCGCAGCTCTTGACCCGGCTTGCTCGGTTTCTTCCTTCCGTTTGTTTTGCTTCGCTGGCGATTTCACCTTTTGTGGAGCTGGGCGAAGGGACTGATTGGACCCCGCCTCTGGGGCTTAGACATTACCCAGAATCAACCTGGTTTTCAGGCGCGTCCTTGGATGGACTCGGGAAAGGCAGGTGGAGAGGCTAGAAAGAAAAAGGATCTGGAACTCCTTCTTTCCTGCCAGATCCCTGGCAAGCAGCGTTGGGTAAGACCAGGCAGGGCCTGGCGTTTTCCGAAAGGACTTGCCCGTTGAGTGACATCAGCTTCTGAACTAAAGCCCACTATGTCAGATACAATAAAGCAGAATGGGTGTCTTTTTCTCTTTAAAGACGAAACAGAGGTTGGGGGTGGGAAGAGAAGAAGGGGAGCGATCATGTTAAAATGACAACTTTCTAGATCCAGTCCCGAAGGGGGAAAGGAAAAAAAACACAAACGCCTAATTTCCTTAATTTCACTGCGATTTCTCCTCTTTCTCACATCCCACATTGTCTTCTCTTGCTGCGGGGAGCAATGTCACCTTTTTACTCTGGTATCGATGGAAAAGCAGGTTTGGCAGCGGTATCAAGTAAAAGACAAGTGAAAGGCTGAGGAGGATTCACATCAAGATCAACTTATCTTCATTATGGGCAGCTTTGCAGGGTAGTTCATATTTCAGTTCATATTTCAGTTCATATTTTAGCAAGCATAATTTAATGATAGTGGCTGGCAAGTCAAATCTTAGATGCATTGCTAAAATGGGATCTGCAAATGTGGGGTTTTCAGAAAGCTAAAGGAAGGGGAGTGTGGGAGTGAAAATTTGGATATAATTAATCATGGCTAGTTTAAAATGCAACATTGCCACAATTAATATCAGAGTGAAAATTATGCTTCTGCAGGCCATATTTGTGTCTTTCCGGCTTAGCTGAAATAGAATTCTTTTAATAAAGTTGCCTGTCCATGACAAGTCATGGTAAATGGGTAATTTGAAATTTAGGCACACACACACATTTTATAAAACTATGAACTATAACCTGCTCTGAATCGGAAAATTACTTATGTTCTATTATTTGGCATACTTTCACAGCCTTGTGAGTTTTCCTGCATGTCATAAGCATTTGAATATAAATTAACATGTTGAAATCAAATCTGATGTTCTTTTACCTTTTATTTGGTATGTGGAAGGTGTGCGGAAGAGGGGGTAGTCTTATACAGCGAGTATATAACAAACTCTATATTTTGAGTGGAAATGTTGGGGGGTCGTCTTATACGCCCAGTCGTCTTATACGCCGGCAAATACGGTATATATAATTTAATGCTAAATATATTTATGCAACTCTATTATTTAAATTGGCATGATACACATGTAGCAGATTTGAGTTAGAGAAATAGAATGGATTCAGTAGATATTATCATAATCAGAAGAAACAGCATGGATTACAAATTGAACTATAATTGTAACAAGCATAACCTATAGTGTTGCTTTTCCTTGTATGTTGCTCTTCCCTTTGATTTTTATAAATTTAAAATTGCACTGTTAAAAAACAAGATTTTATCATCTGGGAGTTTCTTGAAATAAATGTCTACAACTTTTGTCTACAACTTTTAGATGATCAGTTTTATATTTTTATGTGTGTGTATGTCTCTGTATATGTTTGCATAGTGCCAATGTAAGCGTATTGTCTTGTATATTTAGAGTTTTCTTTTCCCATTGTGAGTTGTGCATACCATGAACATCAGTCAAAAAAAATTAATGAGGCGGGAGAGGGCGGAGCTGGTGTCATGGCAGTACAGCATGCGATCTTTAAGCTCTAAGATCGCTGCTGATATCTCCGTTGCAAGACGGTCCCAATGGACCAAAACCGTCCTGTAGAGACGGTTGACTGAGGAGAGTACATTCTGTTGATCCCAGGGACATCGCAAAGTCCCTGGTAGATCCAGGAGAAGCCCTTTTTTCCCACAGCGAAGAGGCAGCCATTAAAGCTGCTGAAGCTGGGACAGTTCCAGAACGGAAGAAAGCTGGAAAGAAAGTGTGTCAGTTTGGTGAGATAATTTTCTACTTATTTTTTTCTGGAGA